GAAACAAATGAAAAGACCAAAAAAATGTAACAATAAGTGAATTTGAGAAGAAGAAAAAGAATTGGCCTGTTGTGTTCAACAGTAACCTCAATCATCAGGAACATCACATAAGCAAAAGAAGAAAAAATTCACAGCCCACTGCAGCAGATAAATACCTTTTGCACGAGGAACTTAATATGTTAATCGCAAACATTTTTACGAACCAAAGTCATCAAAAACCCAAAAGCAACAACTAAGTTTAAGGCAATGAATAGTTGATTAATTAAATAGAAACCCATAAGAAGGAAACCATCATCAATTCATCATCATCATCATCACAATAACAATAATAACAATAAATGGAAGAGGGAGATGGAGAAGGAGAAGGAGACCTATAGAGCTCTTCGAAACTGAGACCACTAGCATTATGATTGTAAATCTCATGGATAGCGTGCTCCAAAATCTTCCAGGTCTTATCGGCGTATTTCGGATCCACCACGACCCGGTGTTTAAACGCCTCTATCTGGAAATTCCTCTTCTTTTGATTGCTCATTTTCTCCCGTTTCTTTTTCTGTTTCCTGGATCGAAAAATCCAAACCCTAAACCCGGATCGAAACAACCCAAACAAGAACGTCGATTATCTAAAGATCGGAAAAGCTTCGACCATAATTTACAAGCAAGCAGGTGTATTAAATTCAAAGAGAGTTTAGGGTTTCAAGATAAAATCAGGTAGGAGGCGTGTTTCTTCTTCTATCAGCTATAGGTGGAAGATTCGTCTATTTTGGGTTGAGGTTGGGATTGGGATATAATCAAGAATTTTAGGGCAAAAACGGATTGGGTCCCTTTTCGTGGTTTTAGGATGCCGTCAGTTGCAGGATGAATGAAGGAATCATTATTAATTTAAAATAAAAATAAAATAAAGCAGTCCTCTGTTTATCTCATTTCATAGGCATACGCTTCTCCTCGGTAAAAACTTTGCTTTTCATTTTAACGAAATTCTAAATTTAATTGTAACTCGGTCCCTCAAGTTTCAGAAATTATAGAGTAATCTAGCACATCAGGTCTTATTAAGACCTCATTGGTTCGTTCCAAAATTCAAATATGCTATTTAACAAATTAAATTCGTGCTATTTGACAAATTAAATTCTTAAAAGAAAAAACACAGATGCAGTGGAGAAAAATCGAGGCAAGACAACAGTCCAGAAATGTAAAAGTTCGTGTTAGGTATTATTGAGATGTGTTTTTTCTTGAAAATTTATTATAATATATATATATTTTTAATTTTTAATGTTTGGTCGACTGCACTAAAGCAAAAGGATAGATATAGAAACTATTGAAACCGGAATGTTTTCCCTTTATTTTATTTTTTTAATTTCGTCATTCGGGTTGAAAATCTGACCATAGTACCATCAAAGTTTCAGTTGGTGTTGTTTTTACGGTGAAACTGCACTTTTAATTTATTTTTTTTATCATTTAAATATACAGATTTAAAATAAATTTTAAAAATTAAAAAATATTTTTTAATTTAATATATTTTTAAATAAAAAATACTTTAAAAAACACTAATCCACCGACTGAGTTATGCAATTATGTTACGAGGGTTTATAAAAATGCTGGACTAAATTTTAAACAAGAAAGATACAGCTAACGTTTAAAACGCTAAATTTGGAGTTCAACCCAGAAACCATGCTAGCTCTGCTGGTTGATTTTTAAGCTTCTTCCGGAGCTCCATTTTATGATCCATTTAATATGGTCATATTTTCCGACAAACGAGCAAGTAAATGTTCCCCCTCGTTCATCAATCAATTTGAAATCATCAAGAACCGGGACATTGAATCTCCTGCAATCAAAGTCATAGCATGTCTGACACATCTACACTGAATTTTCCATAGCTTTTCAACTACAACAGTCGCCTTAAGAACTGGGATCTATTTCAACTATTTCCATTGCTATTTCTTATTTCTTCTTAGGATGCCTGTTAATCATCCCTTCCCTTCCCCCCAACTTTTGGTGCGGTGAGATCAAATCCAAAATAAAGTGTTCAATTAAACTATGCAGCTGGCATTCACAAAAACTGCTAATATCACCAAAAGAAAAAAGAAGAAGAAGAAGATATAGTCGAAGATATAGTCGATGTCCAAATAAATTCGAGAAAGAAAATTCCAAAAGTGTGATGCGATTTACAAATATAAAGTATGGAAAAATGAACTTGGTTTAGCTTCTAATTCCGCAATATAGCAATACTGATACACCTTCGCAGTGAGTAAATATGAAAATTGTAATCCGAGCCTTTTTACTCGTTTAGAACTGGAAAAAAAAAAATTACATACTATCAAAAGAAAGAGATGAAAAGCAAAACCCTCCCCTCACACTTAAGAGTTAAAACCCTCTGGGTCCTGTACTATCCTCCTTCATAATCAAAGGCTTCTCGGCCATAGAGAGACAATACTTGGCAATTTCTCTGAATTTAGGAACACTCCTAAGATCCACTTTAGTACCATCTTTCAAAGTAATGACTACATCACCCCATTCACCTATGAAACGTGGCACAACCTGAACATCTTTTATCACCTTGTAGGAGAAATCACTCCTATCTTGACCCGTTAGCCCTGAGATAACCGTCACCCTCAGGTTGGTGAACCTGTATCTAAGATAAAATGCCCTTGAAACTGCAGCTAGAGTCAATGGCAGCCAGAGAAGAGTGAAGCCCAGTAGCAGGTTGGCTACGAGGTCACCGTAGTGGGCTCCGCCGTCGAAAAAGATGATTTCTTCAATGGGTTTTTTCGAAGTGGTGGAGGTAACAGGTTTGTTGGTGGGGGAGGACACGTTAAGCTTGGTGATTAGTCTGTGATTTCTTGCGGGGAAGGTATGGAATGGGACCTTAGAGGAAAGATGAAGCAACTGGTGGGTAAGGGAGGAGGAGGTTCTGCAGGAAGCGGCTGTGGTGGTAGAGGGAGAGAGCAGAGGAACAGATGCCATGAGGACTGACTGGATTATCTGTTTGGGAAAGAGGAGAAAAAATAAAGTAAAATGGGTGGTGACCGAAGGAGCTGTGTTTTTTCTGTGTTTCTATTGGCTGAGATCCACGGAGGTGCTAGTCTTTGGCGAGCGAAGCTACACGTGGCACGTTAAACGATCCTTGTCTTTTCCCACATGCTATGGGCTGGTCTCTTCTTACCAACCATACATCTTCAGTTTTTGAACAAATAAATGAGATATCCATTTTCGACGGTGTCAGGGATGATAGGCCCAGGGCTGGAAGGTTGTAGGCATTCCCAAAGTCCGATACCTCTTATAAAATTTCTAGTCCCAAACACTCCCTAGTCCAAACCAAAGAGACAAGCCCATTTTTTTTAACCTAATAATTCCAATAGCAAACCAGCTACCAAAAACTTTAAACCCAAAACATTCCATGTAAGGGACGACGTGATAGACCTAATCTACATAAGAATCTCCTGTTTCTAGGCATTTTGAAGGTTTGAAGCTTTGAAACCTAATTCAAACTTAAGCTTTTAGATGGTTTTTTCTTTGTTTCAAGTAAAGGGTTGGTAGCTGAAATGATGGTATTGGAGAAGACCGGAAGAAGAGGGCGGAGAATGTGATGGTATTGCAGAAGATTAGCAGAAGAGGGTGGAGAATGTGCAGTAACATGACGGGAGGCTGTGGGAATTTTCCTGAAGCAAAAGATGCGTTTAAGTACCTATATTTAATAACAAAACTCAAGATAGTCCCTACATCACAAAATTCATATGATTAGATCCATGATTCTACATTAAAACCTTCCTCTTCTCTCCATCATCACAACCTCATATGCCACTAAAAAAGGGTCTCTTAATCGGTTTATAGAAATATTAGATACATCCACAATAAATATTTAATCTCAGTGACAAAATAAATTTTAGAAATTAAATGTTATTTTTTATATTATAAATATTGATATAATATCATTAGAAATCCCACTAAAAAAGTTATTCATTTAATTTACTATATAATAAAGACTTATAAAGAGAATTTACTTTTTTTCAATGTAGAAAGAAATCTTTTCATTTTTTTGTTCATTTACAAGCTACGCAACAGATATGCACAGAAGTTGGGGCACAAGAGAGGAGTGGCAGTGCTGGATGAAGCGGAGTGGGTGGCAGTGAGTCACATGAATGCTATAAAGGCTCGGAAAGAGTTTGCATGTGTTTCTAGCCTGCTATGGCCGCTTCGAAAAGGTGTCTGTGGGGGGGCTCGACTGCCTTTTCGATCCCATTCCATTCTCTATCAGCACAACATTGCCAACGTCCCCTTCACGAGAATGGCCTACCATCATCGACTGTCCTTGTTTTCTTCCTTCGGTTTGTCCTCTTCCTCTCTTGGTTGGTGTGCTCGGTACTCTCTATGTGGGTTGATCGCATGGCTCGTCCCCTCCTCCTCTAACTTTCTTAATCTCAACCCTTTACCAAAATCCGATTTAATCCTTGTGCATGATCATCATCTCCTAAAGTATCCTCTCCGTCCATCACCGTGGCCCACGGTGTTTCAGTGGCAGATACGATTTTGAATCTCACACCTAATTTCTCACGTGCGACAATATTATTTTGGCTCAAATCTGACATTAGTTAATCAAAATCAAGACTTATCGTAAAAGAAGGGACAGTATTGAAGTGACCGTATGATTGGCAAAAGTTGAAAACAGTGATGTTCTAAAAGAAAATAAACAAAAATTCATGGATTCAATTGATTGAAAAACGAAGCACCAGCAGTCCAATTTTTCCCTTTTAATAAATATAATTATAGTGATTTTTTTTTTTGCCGGTTGCTCCCCGTTGTTTTAGCATATCATGCCGAGTGATGTTATCCGCAAAGCGCCTCATACAAGGACTTTGAAGAAAGCACTCGCAAGCATTACCTCTCTCTCCCCCTCTCCCCCTCTCCTGTGCAGGATACGATTCAAAACGAAGAAAATATAAGTATAGCAAAAAAGACATGCAAGGAAGAGAAGGCGATCTCTTTCTTATTCCATGACTCATGCTAGCAATCTAACCAGTGACAAGCAAATATAACTTAAATTCCACCATCGAGCCTAGCAAGGCAAACATCCCTCTTGTTACTCAACGAAAATGTATAAGTCACACACACACACACCAATCAAAGTGATAAGACATGAACTTAATTTTAAACTCATGAAATTAAGATAATTTCCCTCTTATTGAAATGAAAATCAACTATTGCCATGGGTGTATAATGGGTATGGTCCAGTATGACATTCTGGGTTCATTTTCTTAATTGAAATGGTGTTGCTCAAGCCAGGGCCAAAATCCAGATTGATCTTCGATGCTACAGAACATATTGCCAAGATTTTCTTCTTTGACTAATTGATCAATCTTCTGGCTTTGAATATCAGGCCTTGAAGGGTTTGTTTGGAAGAGTTGAGCAACACCTGTAGGTCTTATAGCAACGCCTGCAGGCCTTATAGATGATGATGATGAGGGGAAAAGGGATCTGCTCGTTGGATGATGATTAGATAGAGGGCTGTCAATTGCTGGCGTCCTCGAGATATCCAACTTGATATCAGAGCTGTTTTCACTTCTATTACAGCTAGAACCCTCTGTTTCTTTGTTGAGGTTGATAGGTTCAGTCGGTTCTCTGCTTTTCAGTGCCAATATCTGCAGCCGGAAGTTAATCAATCAACTTGAAGCATGCATGAATGCAAAGTTCTTTAAGAAGAAGAAGAAGAGCTATTATATACTCTTAAATTTCAAGCATGCAGGAAAGATCTTTAGTACTTCACAGACATGAATGATTAATTAGCCTTTATCTCTAAACCACGAACAATTAATATTCTGTACTTAAAAATATTGTTTCCTATATATTTTTAAAAAGTTTTTCAAGGGTGCTAAAACCAACATATATTAAAAATGAAAAAGGTAAGCTAATCATGAGAAAAGAAGCTTTGTTGAAAAGTTCGCAGAAATCATTGCTATAAGTACAGGTAAAAAAAAGCTGCATAAACCAGGGAAAAAAATGATTGGGATTTCGAAACAATAATTGCAGTTCTCCATGCAAAATCTGCTAATTAATGGTTTTACTATCCCAAAAAGTTCCATAGACATCAATAAATTGGGAAGAGATCAAGAACGAATCTCAAATCTTAATTCAAACAAGAAGCTCTACAGTAAGAACCTCTATAGCCAGTCGATGATGTGTCAAATTCTTGCAGCTAATTACCTCCGCGTGAAGTTTCTGGTTCTGAGCTTGTAGCGCATCGTTTTCAGCTTTAATAGCATCAAACTGTCTCTTGAGGAGATCATAATCTTTCTCTAGTTGTTTGGTTTTCCATCTGGCCCTCCTGTTTTGGAACCATATAGCAATCTGTCTTGGCTGCAGACCAAGAGCCCTAGCCAGTTGCATTTTTCTCTCAGGTTCAAGCTTGTTACCCAACTCAAAGTTTTTTTCAAGAGTCTTGACTTGTTCCATATTGAGCCTCCTCTTCTTTTCTCCTGCTTGTGAGCCATCATCAGACAACTCATCTTCTCCATTGCCTTCTTCATGACACGCATCAATCCCTGAAAAAGACATTGATGATCTCTTCCCTATAAATGATGCCACCCCTGCGACCAAAAAAGAAGAAGAAAACCAACACTCTGATCAATATCTAGTCAAATTTAGCTCAGAGAGAAAGAGATCGCATGGAGAAGGTGTGTACCACGGAAATCTTGGGGTGAGGGTAGAATTGGATTGAGAGATGTGGGAGGTTGATGATCATCTTGATCATGAGAAATCTGGAGCATGAAATTTGTTGGGAAGAAAGCCATCCCATTGCACGTCATCACCTATGTATCTTAAAGCTGTGGTCGGAATCAGAATGTCGTCATTGTAGTCTGGAATTCAAAACGAAAGATATCTGCAGATGCGCTCGTAGAGGGAATTGAAAACGTCTAGTCTAGGAGCTACAATGAAAGTAAGAGAGACTTGCAAGGAGATATATTACAGCCAAAAAAAAAAAACAAATTTCTTTTATAGGAGCGGTAAGCAAAATGTGGTTTGATGGATAGGTTATCAATCGGCCTCTAACTAGCTAGTATATCACTTCACGGAATCGAAGAGAAGGAGGTGGGGTGGGGAGGAGAGAGAGAGATGTTTGATGATTAATTTTATTCCTCTACTTCTCTTTATATGAAGAGGGAATTCTCTACTTTTCTTTTTGAAATTTGAAGTTAGTGCTAAAAGAAACGATATTTCATCTGCAAAAAGAATAAAAATGGAGTAATTCTTCTTGAAAGCACAATTTTATTTCTGTGGAAATTATAAAAATCGAGAACCGCCTCAATATGTATTGTAGCTCATACGACAGAGAGAGAGAGAGAGAAGAATACTGCTATGTAGTAATAATTTAAGTTGTCTAAATTAATATCGGGAAAAAAGAAAAGAAAAGAAAAGGAGAGTTGCTAATAGAGAGAATGAGCTGGCAGGTGTATGGATCTTCTCGAGGGCTAAAGGGTAAATGCGTCTGCATGAATTCAGTGAAAGTGAAGGGGCAGGAATCTAGGGATGGGACCAAGGAAGGGAGGGGGGCAGGGGTTGCCACCTAAACAACCAACAAGTATCGTGCATGAGGACGAAGGCTTTCCTATCCATTATCCTTTCATCAGTTCCGAGCCCCTTCTGCGCAGTGGCTTCGTGTGTATGCGTGTGAGAGATTGGAGATGGAGAAAGGGGCTCGGAAAGCCCTAGCAAAAGACCCTCTTGTTATAAATAACCCTACAAGAGCTGGTCTTTCTTGTCTTGGTGCGCACGCAATATATATATAAAATTATATATTAGACGACGTCCATCTCTATCCCACTGCTCCTCCTCCTCTCTCTCTGCCACACCCCCAGATGCCCTTCGTCATCTTGTACGTCCTCTCCACTCCCGCGCGCCTCTCACACTCATTATCCCTAAAGCATATGAAGACGCTCAATCATAGTCATGATGTACACCGTATAGGTGTAAATAAACAGGCAATTTATCAGGTCTCGTAGCATGGAAAGTGAACAGGCAAGCTGACCCATGAGAGGAGATCAAGTATCCATCACATGGACCCAAAAATAGATAATTGTAGCCCCAAGCTTACAGTGTCCACGAACTCGTGGATGATGTAGGGGGTTTTGGCGATTTCGATCGGTCTTTCAAGTGATTGAAAGATGGAATTGAAGGTTGGGATCTTGACATTGGAAAAGCCAAAGGCACCATCCATTTAAGTTTTTGCGCCTAAACACTTGCGTCCTCAGATGAACATACAGCAACATCTCTTGGGCCCTTGCTACCAGTGTTTGTACGTGGTATTTTTGTCCATATTTGATGTGGATTGCCTTTCCGAGCTTAAAATATCAAGTTAATTATAAGAATTAAAAAACGAAGAGAAATTATTGTTGAAACTCGGTTCGGCAAGTTGCCCGTGGAGGAAGGATCAGCTCTTGCATATTCGGATTTGTTAATTCTTAGCACTGTTATATTACAGTTGTCAAAGCTTCACCTTTGATTCGAAAAATCAATCAGGAGAGAGGGTTGTATCTTAAAACTGAAGGGTTCCAGAGGACCCACTGACCTGGGCACCACTAGGGTTGGGTGTCTGGGAGCCCACATAACACCTGCTTTAAAATTGGGCGAAGGACAGGCTATTCCCACAGCACTGCATGACTTTATTAGTTGAAAGAAGCTGGTCGCCCCCTTGGAATGGGGTGGATCCATGTTCTCAGCCAGAAAGCTAGGCGCTCTTTCCTTTCCTCTCCCTTTTCTCTCTTCTATGAGTATTATGTTCACTTGCATAGTTGCATATATATACATACAGGGGCTAAGCTTATTGTTACAATTACAAAAGCGACTAGAATATCTTGGTGAATCGTTGTAGATCAATGCTGCACATTGTTACTCTAGATTGTAAAAGTTTTCTTTTTTCTTCGGCTTTTTTCTTTTAAATTGGACTGATTTTGGATCGAATTCATGATTTGTAGTATTTAACACCGTGCAATGCAAAGAGAAAATTATGTTGCTTAATTGATTCTTGATTTCATTAATTTAGAATAATTAAATTTTTAAAGATTAAATTTAAAAATGATATAACAAATATATTAGGGGATTTGGAAGGGTTGTCACACTTGGACATGCAATGACCACTAACATTCATTAGTAGCCTTCATTGATATTATTTGATTTGTTTTTTTTTCCTTCTCTCTTTTTTCTATTTCATTTCCTCAATTTTCACCCCTTTCTCACTCTAAAATAGCAAAATGGATTGTTGTTTATTTTTGGATGTCAAATTTCGTTCTTTATTTTTATTTTTTTAATTTTATTCTTTAACATTAAATTATCTCAGTATAATGAATCGAATTGCAATTTTGGTAGATTAACTCAAATAGCCTAAAAAAATTTTAATTTCATAATTTAACATTAAGTTTGTTGAGAATTGAGTTTTATGATTTTTGTTATTTGTTTTCTATGAGGTTATCTTTGTATCATGATCAAAGACACGAGTTTAACAAGTTATCTAGGATTAACTTAGGTCATTTTTTATGCTTTTTGTTATTTGATTTTTCTTTTCAAATTCTTCCTTTAATATTGAGTTAGTTGTGTATTGAATTTCATGATTTTTTCTTAATTTTCTTCTATTGGACTTATCAAAGTCTTATAACACGGTACCGACCGACTCGGGTCACAAGTTTCACAATAGAAGTTAGGTTGGTTCATATCTTTTTTTTTTTAAATGATTTTTTTATAATTTTATCTTTCAATACTTGAATTGTATGAGATCGAGTTTCATAATTGTTTTCAACTTGTTTTTCATGTGATTATCACATTCTCATTATCTATGTCATGGTTTGGACGGTTAAGCATGGTTGACTCATATCTTTTTATTTTTATTTTTTAATTGAATATTTTATTTTTCAATTTATTCTTTCAATATTTTGTTAACTAAAAATTAAGCTTAATTTTTTATTTTTAATCTAACCAACAGTATATTACAAGTCAGTATTCTAATCTCATCATTCATTAATCAATCTACTTTTTGTTATCTCTTTGTTTTTTAAATATGGTAAGAATATACTTGGACTAGTTATTATGTCAACTTACACTACATTTCGTCATCCCACCCCCCTAAATGATCTTAAAGAATGGTTTGATATTTTTTTTTTATAAAAAAAACTAGACCTTTCCTCCGATCACTAACCCTAAGATTTGAACTTACAAAGTCAAAGAATCGAGCAAATCTCTTTTACCGCTAACAACCCCTTGAAGTTAGGCATTCTCTAGGTACCCTCAATGAATGATGTGTCACTCTTAACTTTTAAGAAAATATTATTTATACATTTAATATTTTATGTGGTTCAGTCATGGACTACCGCTTCATCTAGCTGTTACTTCAGTGAAAACAAACCTTAACACTCCTAACATTAGCCGTTTTTTACCAACCATGTCTTCATTCGACAGAAATCCCCATTCCTACCATGTAAAATATTGCCTAATATTAATTAACAGATTTGAATCAACAGATAAAATAATAGACTGAGAACTCAGTTGAGAGTTGCAGTATAATTCCGTGTTTCGGGACATAGTTGAAATCATACTGTTTTATTTTTTAAAATTTTAATATGTTTATATTAAAAATAATTTTTAAATATTAAAAAATTATTTTAATAAAAAATACTTTAAATCAAAACTGCAAGAATAAACAACATGGCTGCTAAATATATAAAAACAAGCTGCCCATTCTTCTTCCTCGACACGCCCCTCGTGCTTCTCACGGCTGAAACGGCGCCTGTGGACGGTCTTTGCTCGACGTCAAAGGAGTTCTCACTACATGATCGTGTTTTTATTTTCAAGCCTTGGGCCATGGAAATATTGCATCGATGTTGATTTGTCAACAACGAGACCTGCTATTTTTTAATTTTTATTTTGCTAAAAAAAAAGCCCTGCTAATCTATGTTTAATTAATTTAATTTCCCCTCGTGGCCGTGCTTAACTTTTTCTCAAAGACAGGTGGTCCATTAATCACAGCCACGTTCATCATCGTGACATTCGGGACTGGTAGCGAGCAACAACTAATTAACTAACATAGTAAATAGAATAAAATCATCAAGATATCATACTATTTCTGTTAGAACATGTTTAAGAGTAGATTTCAACGTAGAAATTTGGAAGGAAGAAAGAAAACGGATAAAGGACACCTACTCATAAAACCGAGTTAATTCAAGCAGTATATCCAGCACATGGTTTTAGAATACAATCTGTTTTGTAACGGAATTCATGCTTCCGTTATATTATATTCTTTCTTATTGTAAGATGGGCATGTTCGGAGAAGCAATCGCTATAGATTTTGAAACGTTTCGAGTTATAACTTCTAGAAATAACGACTGTGATTTATTTATATTTTGTATATATTTTATCGGGTTTTTTATTAATGCATGTTATTAATCCACAATTAGTAATTTGTCTTAATATAAGTTTAAGTGCATGGGATGAAAGTTTAAATCCTCAGATCTTGATTGAAGCAATTTTATATAAAAGAAATATTTAAGTTAGAAGTTTAAGAAATAATAAATCACAAAAATCATACCCGACACAACGTCGGCCGACTATCATCCGTACATTGAGCCAATGGAAACACGACACACAGATAAAATACAGGGAGTAACAAGATTTTGTCCACGTGATTTTATTTACAAGTCTACTAAAGCATTTTTATGTTAAAATATATAAAATAATATTTTTTATTTTTAAAAAATTAATTTTGAAATTAATACATCAAAACAGTTTAAAATATATAAAAAATATTAATTTTTAATAAAAAAAATTAATTTTTTTTATAAATACAGGTTAGCTCGAAGCTCTACCTTGTATACACCAATCAGGATGCTAATGACTTGCCTAAGACCTAACAAAGAAGGAACTTAGTCTTTATATACAGAAGCTCGGCTTCTGACTTTTAAAAAAAGAGTAGCAAGCCAGCAGTGCAGGATAAACAAGAAGAAATTTTCACCGATGATTCAAGCTTCTTCAGTGTTTTGGCGTTGTGATTTATTTTGAAATTAAATTTTTTGATATTTTTATGTTATATCAAAGTTAAATTTTTTAAAAATAAAAATTGCTTAAAAAAACAACTTTGTACACAACACTCAACTAGGCCTCTATTCGAGGTTGTGCGCCACCCAGCGACCTACTAGCCTTCCCCTAACCTACATCCCCAACAAATAGCCTGAAACTTGAAGTTTAAACAAAAGATGGTACGAATGGCATCACGCATCTAAAAAGAAATGTGGACCCGGCAACAAACTAGCCAGGCGCCACTGTGTTAAAGGCATGTAAATAAAATAATTATTTTTCTAAAAAAATTTATTTCAAAATATATCAAAATAATAGATTTTTTTTATTATAAATCACA